GAAAACGCCTCGCTCAGAAGACGCCCCCCTACCCCTGCGCGCGCTCAGCGGGCCACGGTAAAATTATCAAAGGCTGACTGGTCCGCGGCGATAAAAAGGTTGGGGACCACTGTTCTAGTCCAACCTGCCACCCAGGCAGGAGACCCTACACCATTTCTGACAAATGGTGGTCCAATCTCTTCTCGAAAGCTTCTATAACTTCCGAAGGCAATTCCTGTTCCACTGGTGGATTGTTCTCACTGTCAGGAAATGTCTCCTTACTTGCAGGTTGAACCTCTCGTTGTTCAGTTTCCATCCATTATTCCTTCTCTAGCCTTTGTGTACCTTGGAAAATAGCTTGACCCTCCCCACTTCCTCTCTGTGGCAGCCCCTCAAATATCGGAACACTGCTATCATGTCTCCCCTGGTCCTTCTCTTTACTAGCATTTTTAGGGAACTTTACAACTAGATAGCCATTATAACATTGATCCTGCACTAACAGACACATGCATAGTTGAATTTGTTTTGAGGGTTACTCAAAACTTCCTAAACCAAATTTTGACAGGATTTCAATTTGCAGTCCGGAGGCAAGTATCATTAGCTAAGCAAAACACATCTTCTTTCATCTTAGAAGGCTTTCTTGGTCTTGGGGGTGGGGGGCTATCATGAAACATTTTCCAAAACACCTGGTAAAAACCGAGATCAGACATTTGGTCTTGCGATATTGCAGGGTGATGCAGGAGTTACTGGCCGGAAAATCATTGTGGATACTTACGGTGGATGGGGAGCCCATGGAGGTGGAGCTTTCTCAGGCAAGGACTACACAAAAGTGGACCGATCAGCAGCCTATGCAGCCCGGTGGGTGGCCAAATCTTTGGTGAAAGCAGGACTGTGTCGTCGGGTTCTGGTTCAGGTAAGTGACATTTTACTAATCTGATAGTTGTACAATCAAATAAAACCAGTTTATTACGGTTCCACCACAAAATCGCGGAGGACAAAATCGCGCTCGACGAAAGCGCGCATTTGACGTCATCACAGCGCGACGAAAACATCGCGCTGTGA